GATGTGTCAATTACAGTTAATTCGATCTGTTCAGCAACTGTACGCTTTATTTCAATTGATGTAGATCGACCAAAGTGTGGTTGATAGAGTGGGAAGAACATGGAATTTTTTATTTAAACAAAAGTTTATACAAATGTTTAATAAGTATCTCTAATATTAAAACGCCCGTCATTCGCATCTATTGCTATTATGTATATATGTACTATTATATGTATTTCTCCATTATTTTAATGTTGACATTGCATAACGTATGTGATTGCATTATAATAAATTATTTTTATTATAATTGTTATTTTTCTATTGGACTATTTAATCATTAACACGTTCCATGCCTCGTGTACCATAATTGTACATGCAGAAATATTTATTTAATGCGCTGAAACATCAAATAGCCTGAACGATAAGTCGGACAAAAACTTTTTTATTTATGTATTATAGCGTGTGACTTTATTTTTTATTCTGCACTTATTATAATACAGGGACTTTCTCGTTGATAGTAATGAATATTATTATTGATTCACCCCGTATGATGTACGTAAGCGTTGTGTGTGGGTCAGTCGAGCGATGCCCACACTGGATGTGACATCATAAAAAGCTCGGTAACGCACGAGCACTTACGAGCATCGAGGAAAATTGTCCATCAGCTGCGGATGAGAGATGCCGCGTGTAGAGAATCCGTGTCATCTCGTCGCGCGAAAAACGTGACGAAATTCTTAAACGATCACGATGGTCGATGTTGTCGCGAAATGAATAGCCGACGACGGAGCGAGCCACGCGGAAACTCGAAAAAGTTGAACGAGGTGTCGACGGCGCGCATCAGTGGTGACGCTCGTGCATTGATGTTCGCCGCGACGGGACGCGTGACGAATTGCCTAACTTGTGAGCATATAATTTCTCGATGAAATTCGATAGATTTTTTATACACTTTGAGCGAAATTTTTCGAATAGTCAGCACGTACTGTACATGTATTTACGTGAACAGCTCATGGATAGAAGTTGTATTGATAAGAAGTCTGTCCAAAGTGGATACACACATATATAGGGTCTGTTGAAATTGTACCGTAACGATAGCTCGATCGTCGAGCAATTTTCGAGTTACAGTTTTTCACTGTAAATAACGTCTGGCTTCCGGCGCTACAGTGTTTGCCCTATGGACGCGGCACAAAGACCGCGAGAATCTAATTTAAAGTGCAATCAAGGCAGCAATGAAGTAAATGAATTTACTAGATAGACCTTGTGCACCGTTGCAAAACGGTTAATTTCGAGAACCCATTAAACCACCGCGTCCTCTTTCGAATCAAAACATTCCATCGCAACATTCGAGAATTCTATTTCTTTGGTTTATTTCTTTGCTACTTCACCAGTTAAGCATTCGAGCTTTCTCGGTTAATTGATGCTCATATAGTTTCAGACTGAAATATCATTACTAGTTTAATATCATTAATAATGAAGAGTGCTAATCAATTTAAAAATAACATTTAATATAACGAAGCAAAATTAGAAACTATATTAGCGATCCCGAAGAGCAATCGAGCAGCAATTTTCACAAGCCAATTCTGGCATCGACAATTCGAGCGTTCATTTCTCTTTCGTCCTGAGGCAAATTTCACGCTCGCTCGAATTTCCCTTCTACGTCGTTCTACCGAGAATACGTAGACTACCCACCTCTATTTTTTCAAGTTCGACTTATTTCTCTCTGCCGTTCCCTCTATTCCGGGAACGTAATGGACAGCACGTTTACAGGTCTCGGTTAGGTCGAGCGCGTAAAAGAGAATCGTTCGCAGCAACAAAGGCCCAATAAAGCCCCGGTTTCGGGGCCGGTTAAGTGAAAGAGATATTACGCGTTACGTATGCGGTGGCCGTAGCCATGGAAAAAGGGTGGCAAGGATCGACGTTGCCTTTGTGAAAGGCAGCTCGCCTATTGATAGTTTTGTTGCCGGTGCATTTACGAACGTCGGGCGCAGGCCGTCCGCTCTCAGCAGGAATGGCACCACGATGTCGACCCTCCGGGCGAAATGTCAACTCGGTCGCAACGACGAACGCGCCGCGTTTCACTTAGGACCGAAAAAGATGGCGAGAGGGAGAGAAAGAGAGAATGCAACCGTTTCGCGAAAAATCCTGCCACGACGACGCGAGACCCATACGTGAAATGGCGGCTAAGATTGCCTCGGAGATCGAGCCGGATGATTCCAAGGATTTAACGCATCAACTTTGCTTGAATTTCGCCAATCTTGTTCGGAGCTAACCGCTTTGTTCGAAGCAGAAATTCAATTTGACGACAATCTCAGCTTCCCTTGCTTAAGATTTTCTTCTACGTTGTTATTCTTTAGTTTCGATAGACAGAACGATATAAACGATAGCTGATGTCGAACAAATAGTTATAGAACTTTCAGTACTGTTGGTAGTTTTTAAAAAATCCTGGTAATAAAATTGAATTTCTAGCAGATTATTTTGAAACATGAATTACTTTACATAAACAAAATTATGATCTCTCTTCCCGAGTTGTATTCGTTAATAGTTCACTATTTTTCCAGACAGATTGCATTCTGAAATATATGCCTCATCTCTTTCCTAACAATTGTGATAATATCGAAATATCCTGAATTCTTATGCTTTAAAAACACTCCGTCGTTGGATTATTCAAGAATTTACAGAACAAATTGCCGTGGAAGTACGCAGACATGTCGAGAACGGGCGAATATCGAGCCGTGATGCGCATCAGAAGTGACCGATTACCCATCAATTAGCGAGGAATTACCATTGCGCAATATTCCACAGCCAGAAGTGCTTCAATTTGTACTGCAATATTCATGAAACTGTCGATCCGTGAAAAAATATCTATTCTGGAACGGTTGAACTGCTTCGTATTCGCGAATAACGAACACCAATTTCTTCCACAGTTTGCCTATAAGGAATTCCTGACCGCATTTATTTCTAAACAATCGACCATAACAAATTAACAAGTTCCCGAAACCAACCGCGAATCCATGTTTCATCGGAACACTTTCGCGGTGTACTAGACCGCAACACCACCTCAAACAATTTCCCGCAACGCGCGAGTTCCCCTCTTCCCATCGTAACCCCGGGAAAAATGCCAATGTAAAAAAGAAATACGACCGATGTTGAAATTAAGTAAAACTATCGAAAATTCAGTCGGTCATGGATATTAATAAACGTAACTAGTGAGAATATTGGAGTTAAAATGTATGAGTACCAGCTTCATAGAGGAACACCGAATCTTTAGCCTGGAATTTGCGATTCGCAACGGCTAGCGCAGTCTCTCTGCGATTCGTTTGTCAATCCTCGCTTTCCATCCCGGCTACCGCTTTTTTTTTCCCTTTAGGATATCGACGTCGATTGTAGAAATATAATACGGAATGAACGAGAGAGAATACACGATCAAGACAATACGCAGGCCTTCTGGCGTTCAGGATAAAAAAATTGGAAGGGAAATGCAAGGGAATATCGAGTTGGCAGATATCAATGAGTAGGACGGGGCAGCGCGGCTGCCACGTGTGTACCCGCGGTACGGGGTCGAAACTCGGCCTAGATTCGGAATGTGGGTCGGGTCAGCTGCATCCGTGCATCCCCCGGGGTATGACCGGGGCGCTGCAGCCAGTGCGGCACGTATCCGATGCACTTGCAGGATACGGACACGGTCATACGTGACAGCCGCAGCTGACCGTCACGCGTCGAATTTGAATTGATAATACGCGTAATTTCTCCGTTGGTCCCGTTGGCATAAGCCCATAATAACGGGGACGTACAATTAATTACGGAGTCGCGGCTCGAGCGCCCTGTTCTTTGACATATGAATCGCTTGTCCGTCCGTTTGACAATGATGAGTCGACCATTCCGATTTTCGCCAACGGGTATTTGCCTGGGTGTGACTAGTACCTGTATCTACATGTGAACGTGTGCCTGGAACACTGGTGGAAATTGTTTGTCGAGCAGATTTGTCGACTAGTAGAAACGTTTCGGTGATAAGATCTTTGTGTTGTAGTTGCAAAGAAGAAAGATAGACACATTTTTTATAAATTGCGTCCCTCGGTTTCTTTTTCTGCATCCGTGATAACTGTAATATTCTTGTTTTCTTTCCTGATATCACAACCGACAGTCTCTAAATCCTTGCGTATACAGATAAAAGAGGTACAATCTCTATCGTCGTCGCTGTATATTCGCGACCCGTTTGGCGGTTTCCCAACAACGATTCACTTCGTATGACAAAATAAAAGATTCTCTACGTAATCGGAGGAATTCACGACGGTTCATCGAAAAGTTTTCCGGCAAGGTTGAGTAAGACACGATAAAGCAAATCCCGTTTTCCGCAGCCTACGTAAAGGGGTAGGCGAAAAGAGGGTAATTCGAAGGAGGGCGGTAGCTTCGTTCGGAATCGAGGACGGCGGTGTATCGCGGTCGGAATACTACGAGGCAGCTTCAAAAGTTGCTGGTTAAACGACGGAGTTAACTTCGTTTCGTTGTTTGCGCGAACCACAAATTTCCTCCAGTTACTCAGTCCCGGAGCCCGGGTGCCGTTATAATCACACGGATGTACGTGTTACCGGGGTACAACTGGCGGACAGAGAGGAGAGGAGTCGGCCAGGCCAACCACCCATCTCGTTTCTACTCGCGTGACAACTTGTTCCCGGTGTACTCGCTTTACTCGCGATAAAGCTTCACGAGCCGGGACCTCTATCTACGCTCGCTGTTTCCTATTCGCTCGAGTTCTCTGTCTTCCAACGACCCGAGTCGCTTGAATAGAATTATATTGATAAGCAAGTCGCTTTCAGAGGGTTATAATTGAATTTAAGCGGGCCGTAAGTTCTACTCTTATCCGCCGTGTTCAACTATTCGTTCTGGGATTGTTCTTTCGTTAGAAACGCTCGGTGGCTGCATACCTGTAGCATTGATTTTAGGAACAACGAAATTGCTTTCATAGTTCCAAACGGTTACCGTGTCGAGGGAAAATAATTAGAAAGGAGATGTTTGTTCTGACTCACCTCTGGATTACAGATCTTGTATTTCGTGCTCCACGGTCTACCTTTACACGGCTTCCTCCTGCAACGTCTCTGTTGCCGTGAAATTCCACCGCCGCAGCTCCTGTGAAGTAGGACGAACACGATTAAAAAAACCATGTACCTGAGACTAACAAGGGACATAGGTGAAATTTCTGACGCTGCCACCGGTCGAGCATCGGTTTTTACGTGTGCAGAAATAAAACATTTTCTGCTGCTGATGAATATCTGTAGTATCAGTTTGGTACATATCAAATGTCGTTTTCTTCAAATAAATATGGTTCCTGTAGTTTATGTATTTGATTAATTAAATTAAAATAATTCCTTTCAATGATTGAACGATTGCATTATCTATGAAAAATAGTAATCAATATTATTCATGATACTGAACAATGAGATAAAGCATGATATATAATTTTTTACTCTAGCAATAAAAATTTCATACGCAGCACCTAATAATTTACAATGATGTTGTGTACGTATGGAAATGTATTTTTATTTCATCTCTTGGAATGCAATTTTTACGGTTGTGAAAGAATAGCGTTTATTCAGAAAATTCGGGGTACCATCGAGCAGAATTATGTCATACGGTTTGCACGATCGCGACTGACTCGTTTCGAGAGTTTAAGTGGTGCTTGTGCTTTTGGTACATGCGGGTCCGTAGCTTGCTTGCGTCTGTAGCGTCGTCACTTACAATTTGTTCTAAATGTGGTCAGGCTTTAAAATTTAGAAGCAAGGGGTAGAATATACGGGGGATGCTATGAGCAAGAACGTCAATTAAAGTGAAAGTAAAACTTTACGAAAATTCCCTGGCAGGTAGCGATAAGTCTCTTCTGCGATATTCCATTCGCAATTTCATTTAGGGAAGGAAACTAAAAGCAATACATGAAAAGTAGGAACTTAGGAATTACATTTGCGTTCAAAGAAAACGATGTTCCATGTTGCATCAATCTAATCCATGTATCTTGTACTTCATATTGATAATTTTTGCTCAACTCGGATCGAAAAAAATTGTCGGTCGTAGGTAAAAAATTTTAATAATTGTATCGGGCCGCGTGGACGAAGATTTAGAGTACCGCGGCTAGCTGCGTCGAATGTACGGCATCGTACATCATACAATAAGCTTCTCCGGTAGGGGCGAGCGCAGTTCACCAGTGGTAAGCGTCATAAATTATTTGCTGGCGCAGTCTGCGCCGTTTCTGGTCGGCTGAAAAACGAGCTGCCTGCCACCGGAACTCCACCGTCGAAATGAGTTCTGAAACGTTTAACATTCCACCGGCATATCGATGCGGAGCTGGACCCCTCGATCTGATCTATTGCGCGAACAAACTATTTTTTGTGACACCGTTGGTTCGTTTCGAATAAAGCCGTTGTTTAATCGGTATCGGAAAACACTCGTTCGCCTTTCGCTCTGAAAAAGTGTCAAACCTTTGACCAAGCCGTGACGCGGGGAGACAATACGCATAATATGGATAACAACGAGATCATGATTATCCAATTCGTTGCATTAGAGATACAGAATTAACACTTAACGAAACATCGTTTGCTCGTCTGTGTCTTCCTGTTGTAACTTATTGCAAATAAATCGATAATCAAGTCGTTTGTTATATTGTGACAGAATGGCTTGCGTGTGAAATTATAATAAAATATCCCGATGACCACGTACAATATTCTGTTTATTTTAGTCGGTGATTATTTTATTAATTAAATAAACAAGAGAATTTGATTACGATACCTTGAACAGCCGGACCACTTGGACCATGGTGTCCATTCACCCCAAACGACGCTCTGCAAGCAGAAAATAATTTGTCATGTGATTAAATCGTACAAACGAAACGACCGCGTTTCGCGGGTACACGAGTTCGATAAAGTGTTCGGATAGTGTGTTTATCATTTCTCTAAAAAATTCGACGTTCAATTATATTCGACGCGACAAATTTAATCGGATAACGTATTTGTGAAACAAATGCCTGTCCCCAGTCCCGCATTTGGCCGTTACTTTCAGCGAAATTGGAGGACGCGTTCGAACAAATTCGTTAAAATACCGACACATGAAAATATTCGAGGGGTAACTGAATCAGCCCTCATGAAATTGTTGGACAATTAATCTGTGTAATGAAAAATCTCTGCTTGCTCTGCTGATTGTTAAATACTTTCCACTTTTGAATTTGTAGGAACTTTATTCTACGGTAATTACAATCATATATATCACATACAAGGTTCTTTTTATAATACAATGATGTGAATGTTTAGAACTTTAATAGAATAGAAAATTATTTTATTTTACCGGACCATTTATTTCTTGGTTTGTACGTGAAATTCAGTTGGATGCTCCAAAAAACATGTCTCTAAATTGAGATAACATTCTGATTATTGGGACTGATTTTAATTTTATGTTTTCATGCCTGTATATTGAAATAAAATTCTGATTATTGCGACTGATTAAATACGACATTGAATAATGCGATCTCGTGAATTCCGGCAAGATCGGGCGGAGCAAAGCTGGGCACCGATAAAAGTGCCACCGTAACAACGCCGATATATCAAAGTATTTAGCGTCCTTCCTCCAGTGTGGAATCAGAAAAATCTCGTCCGTGGGGCGGACAGGGACTGGCTTGCCATCGATATCCCTTTCGAAGCAATAAGTTCACCGGGAGACGTGATAAAAATTTCGGTGCAACTCCGCTGCGAAATGCTTGGCACGTTCGCAGCCGAACGGAGCGGATTTCGAAAATTCACTTTTACCAGTCGGCTCGAAATTCGTCGAGCTGAATACCTGCTCGGGTATTTCGTATTGCCGGACGATAGACACGATCGTCGTTTAAAGGATCAAGTAGTAGAAATTGATTAGAAAAATTATCCATCATGCATTAAGGTGGTTCTATTAAGAATTCTAAGGAATTCTTAGTATTCCGATTTTGATGTCGATTTTAATTCTGATTCTGATTTCGATCTCAATTTCGATTCCGACTTTGATTCTGATTCTGAAGTTCGTAACTACACTTATTTTTTACAGTACAAATGTTATGAATTCTGAGATATTACTTTTAATTATATTACAGATTAACCATTATTTTCTCAAAGGCAGAAAATAATGTTATCTGAAAATCAGATTAATTCTAGTCGATTTCAAGGGATTTTATATTGATATCTTTCTCTCTGTCATTTAATATAGACGTTATACTATAATACATATATTACAGTAGAGTCTTTTTGAAACATATCACATACTAGTTTTCCCAACTGTATTTCTTTAAAAGAAAAAATATCCATATCACGTATCGCGATTGTGAGAAGTTTATTATTTTTTCTTTGTAACGAAGTTCGTTTAGTTGTTGCTGTCAATTCTTTCCAGGCTGACGGTTTTCAATTTTCGAGAGCCGCCATTCGCCACCGTACAGTCTCGCAAATTTTTATCCCTTAACGAGAAATTCAAACTGGTAACACACAAAGGCACAGGAAAATGGACTAAAAAAAAGTGTATAGGTACTGTTTCCGACACCAAATTTTTGGAACGCTGTTCATTTCACATGTCAGTTTTGTACGATAAAATACAACGCGTAAGACATAAATGTTGAACATCGTAATTGCATCGTTGTACGTGCGTTATCGCGAGTGATTAAATAACAACCAGACACGTTTCAAAACTTGGAACAGATTTCGGATAGTTTCACGTCAAATTGAGTTAACTAATCTCTTCAACGGAGAAGTCTCCATCCAATTAACCGACACGCGTATCTCTCACTGAGTATTAAAATTTACCGACCGCTGGATCCGCGTGGAATCGTTAACATTCTCGCAGCAGTTAGGGCGGAATAAAATATGGAATATCTTCCACATTTATTTAAGCTAAATCGCCGGATCTCTTTAGTCGACGGTATTCAATAATGAGCCGTTGTATCGGCTTCAGAAAGAAAGAGCATCGGGTGGGCTGACAATTAATCCGTTTTATTCGACTACTGGAAGCAGTAAGAATCTTAGCGAAAATAAAAAAAAAGAACAGGGTATCGAGCGAGAAAAAAATTGAGTCAAAAATCTGTGAGAAAATAATTTAGAAAGGTTTGATTAAAAAGAAGACAGGCAGGAGAACAAAAGTAATCGAAGGAATGAAAAGCAAAGCTCTACGTTAATGGCCATTGAAGGCTTTCATCGTCTTCTCCAGAGAAATTTATTTTCGGAATTGGGACTTCTCTGGATGTTTGAACTTCATCCCGTATTTTCATTCCTTCTCTTTTTAATAGGACACGGGTATATGTAGGTTAGTTATGTTTGATTGTTTTCCGATGCATTTAACTGTGATTACAGCAATCGAGTGTAATGGACGATTATTTCATGCTTGAGTAAATTATAATTGTACAAATCGGAATGGATACACCTTGTTCATACAATCATTTACTCCTATAATTCCGTTTAAAAGTAATTAACTGAATGAATTTTTATATGAAATGAATTGATGCAAAAACAGGAATAAATTGTTTATCTACCTATCAATACATTTTGTGCAGTGTATCGGATCGAATTTCTCTGATTGTGAGATTTTCGAGCTTTGCTTCGATAAACGCATCAGGACGAAATAGAGGCGGTTATTTCGTGAACGGCCGCGAAGTTTGCACGGTGCAACGAGGCGACGGCGGCGGTGACAGTAGTCGCGGATACGTGGCGCGTTAACATTCGCGGAGTTGGTTCATTAAAAAAGCGCGGAACAAGCTCCGGGGCGCGCTCATTTGTTAAAAGTTCGCGGGGCTTGTTCGCTGTTTGAATCGTTGATTAAAGAAGTGGCGGTCTCTCGTCTCATTTTTTATGCTCTCTTTTTCTCTCCTTTCCTTTTTTGCGTACTGTTTTTGCGCTCTTGCCTCTCTTCATGCTTTTTTAACGCAATTCGCGCTGTTTGAGCGGTTTGAAGATTTTAAGGTTTATTTAACGAATGAATCTTGATGTCGTTTGTTGTGCAATGGATTTTTACCTACCACGATGAATAAATTTGTCTAATCGATTGAAATAATGACAATAATTTCATTATATCTATCATTGAGACGAAGTTGCTCTCTGATAAATTGACTATCGACTAAATACACGCTTATGGAAGATGAATATGCGAATAGGTTAAAGATGAAGTATCATTTGCCACTCAGGCATATCAATTACTGTCCTGTTACTGTCACCGATAATTATACGCGTTTACTCTTACGCTGTTGCTCAATTGATCGCTCGCAACAACCTACACATGCTGCGAGTTCAGCTCCACTTTCTTAATAATCGAATTTTCGATTTGATCATTACCCGAATGATCCTGCAATAAATCGTCGACATCATTGCGGGACGCAATAGTTTTCAGTAGCGTGATTTAAAAATCCGTCAATCGAAAAATTCAATTATGAAATTGCATCAATTTCTCGTTTGACCGATCTTCTGCTCCTCATATAAGTGCGACGGTGAGAAACAAAGTGGGCACCGGTATGTACAGATATGTATAGGAAGGTGCGAAAGCCCGCATTGCGGAATGAGAGATCGCCTATCGGCCTATTGGCCCATGTCCTCGTCTACTTCCATCTTCCTCCCCGTTCCTCTTTTCCCCGTCCTATCCGCTCGTTCGATCCTGTATCTGTCTCTGCCCGCCGCGCCGTTCACCGCTCCTCTTTCGTTGCCAATTTGCGACGAGATTCGCAGCTCGAGGTGATAGCGACGCGTGCATGTCCCGATAAGAATCGTTTTTGCGGTCCAGCTACAATCGATCGCATAAATCGTTCAGCTCGATCGCAGATGCGAAGATTTAACTTTCGCAAAAGCCCGGTCCGAAGTGTCACCGAGATTTTCCTTGATTCTTTATAGACCTTGATAGCGCGCTTTTTTTTCACTAGTGAGTCGTAACAATTTTGCATTAATTGGAAAGAAGCGTATTTGTTTAAAATTGCATTATTTTGAATCTTGTATTTTCTCTAAATAAATATAAATTATATTTTATTGATTCTCCTTATAACGAGAGACATTATTTTTTTCTCTGATCCTCGTTCGTAAGCTTAAGTCTTTATCACCGCTATAAACATACATTTTAACTAAAGTCGAAACGATGCCAGATGAAAGTGTCGAAAATTAATTGCTCGCTTGTAATGAGCGTGGTAATCTAGCAATTAATGGGCAATTTCTCCGGACTGGAAGGAAGCGAAGCTGCTTCAGGAGACGGGAAACATTGATCCTCTTTACATACTGCGCTTGTATCCGACGTTGGTCATAGTTTCTCGAATGTTCACTGCGCGAACTCGCGTATTTATGCATGCGAATCTTCGCGGTCGCGTGCAGTCGCGCTCGCTTAGTTTTGTGTTTGACGATTTTGCATATGCATGCGTAAACGGTCCGCCGCGTTGAATATGGTCCAGAACTTGGTTGTTATTTGTATAGAAAATTCGTTACGTGCTTCCCGCGCGTTCCCGTATATTGTTTCGTGTAACTTTCTGACAACGATTACGCAACCCGGAAATTGTGTAGCAGGTTTACTTCTTTAAACTTGACCAACGGATTGAAAATAATAAAAAGAAGTTGGATAAGTATTGTTTTATGAATAAATGTAGCAAAGTCTCGAAATTTCTTCGCTTTCAATAAGAAAAAAATAACGTTTTACTTCTGCTCCGTTTCTTAGATTCGTATTTTGCTTGCTACAATAGTATTATAGCCACGTTTATAGAATGTGAATTGTCTGTTCTCTAGTAGATCGACTGCTTGAACGGTAACGATTTTGTCGTTAGTTAATATAGGCTTAGATGGAGTTGAAATTCCGCTTTTCAAGCAGAACC